GTAGGCATGTTACAGGATTGGGGTTGATGGCCCAGAGAAAAGGAAGTAATGATAATCTTAATTGTAATGACAACAGCTAACATCGAGCAAGCACTTACTGTGTGTTGGACACTATACGTGTATTCACTCGTTTAATTTCTGCTTTTCCAAATGAGGAAACTATATCACAGAGGTGAGGCGGTTTGCCTACGGTCACTTCATTATTAAGTGGCAGAACCAGGATATGAACCTGGCCAGTCTAGCTCTAAAGCCCAAACTCCAATCAAGTATAATTCACTTACTGTCTTCCTAATAACAATGATAGTGAAATAATAACAAGAATAGAAAAGTGTTATGGCCCTTGCTTGTTGTTAGACCATTGTCTGGATATGCCAAGGTTGTCGGTTGGATCCCCTGTCAGAATCAACCAGTGGGCCTAGACGGTTTGGCTCGGTGGATAGAATGTCAACCTGTGGACTGGCCGGGTTTGATTCCAGTCAAGGGCACATGCCCGAGTTGCGGGCTTGATTCCCAGTAGGGGCATGCGGGAAGCAGCCAATCAATGATTCTCTCTCATCATTGATGTTTCTCTCTCTCTCTCCCTTCCTCTTTGAAATCAATAAAAAATATATTAAATAAATAAATAATCAATAAATAAAAATTTTAAAAATCAACCAGTGAATGCATAAATGATTGGAACAACAAATCAGTGTTTCTTTCTTCCTTCCTTTCTCTCTCTAAAATCAATGCGTAAAAATTAATAAAAAAGAAAAGAAAAATCGTTATACTACCCCAAGAATTCACAGCATTCCAGGTATTCTGCTAAGCACTTCTTTTGGCGGTAGGCGTCAATATTAATAGCTACCCTATATTAAGCACTTAATTACATTATTTCTGAAGTGGCGGTTACCTACATTTCACAGATGACAAAACAGAGGTGCAGAAAGGCCCAGAAAGCTTTATCTGGTGTTGGTTTGAGCCTCCCTGAGTGGTGAAGAGAGCCCAGGCTGGGTACAACACTGAGAGGGTCTCACCAGGCCCTTGGAGGCCTCGTCAGTTAGAGCCACACCGAGCACTGTCTGTGTATCTGCTTTTTTAAAGGAATGTTTTTATTAATTTCAGAGAGAGGAAGGGAAAGGGATAGAGAGATAGAAATATCCATGAGAGAGAAACACTGATGGGCTGTCTCCCGCACGCCCCCTACTGGGGATCGAGCCTGCAACCTGTCCATGTGCACTGCCCGAGAATTGAACCAGTGACCTCTTGGTGCATGGGACAACTCTCAACCGAGCCACACCAGCCAGGTTGTGTGTCTGTTTTTTAGTAGGCCTCCTGCAATAATGACAGATTGTCCTGGATTGTTGGGCCCTTGGATAAGCAGGCACGTAGGGGCTGTAAGCCCAGGCCCCATGGTCTTGGGAGTTACCTTGCTCAGCCCCTGGTAATGGAGTGTATTTGTCTCTCTTCCAGGCCAAGATCAAGCAAAAGCTGCGGGAGATTGAAGAGAATCAGAAGCGGATTGAGAAACTGGAGGAGTACATCACAACTAGCAAGTATGTGGCTCTGCAGCCTTCCCTCCTACTTCTGGGGCTGTTCTTATGTATCCTCCCTATCCTAACCCTCCCCCGGCAGAGGCCCCCAGAGGCCCTCTCAGCCCAGAGTATTTCCTGACCAGCCAGGGTAACCCCTGTATCCCCTTTATAGGCAGTCTCTAGAGGAGCAGAAGAAGCTAGAGGGGGAGCTGACAGAGGAGGTGGAGATGGCCAAGCGGCGTATTGATGAAATCAATAAGGAGCTGAACCAGGTGATGGAGCAGCTGGGGGATGCCCGCATCGACCGCCAGGAGAGCAGCCGCCAACAGCGCAAGGCAGAGATTATGGAAAGCATCAAACGTCTATATCCAGGCTCTGTGGTAAGAGTGGAGAGAAAAAACTCATTTCCTGAGCACTTACTTTCACACTCAATCAGATCATTTTCCCAGCAGCCCTGTTAATTCCATTTTTTACAGCTGGGGAACTGATAGGTTAAATTGACCTGCCCAAGAGCACAGTTTATGAGTGAAAGAACTGCAGTTCACGCCAACTTGTTCTGATTCTTAACCTCATGTTCTTTTTATCACACCACTTGCATCTTCCGGAAGGTTTTGTCTTGCTGTGTCCACTCTTTTGTGGGAGGCAGGGAGACTAGAGAGACCCTTGGAAGGGGGAGAGGCCATGGGGCAGAAGTAGCTCTGTGCAGGCTTCAATATGAGTTCCCTTGCTATGAACCAACCCGCTCATTTGCCTGTCTTTTTCAGATCTGTAATCCCATCCCTGGGTTCAGCTTAATTGGGTTCGATAAATATTTCCTCATCTCTCCTCTAGACACTGCTGGGGAGTTTATATAGGTGAAGTAGGCTCAGGCCTTGCCCTTGAAGATCTTTCCCTTCATCTGATAATTCTTAGGGAATCATGGCTGGTTTGGAGAGAATGTGGGCAGATGAACTGGGAAAACAGGTTTCTTTTGCTGGTGCTTGTGAGAATTTGAGGTAATGTATGTAGGTTATCTGATGTAGTGTCTGGAGTGGCAGCAATGTATGAAATGGTCAAAGTGAGGTTTAACAAGGATGATTTTGGATTCAGATATGACTGCCTGAAGTCCTTTTTGCTTTGGGGCCAGGGTAGGCTTTTTCTTCATAGCCTGGGAGCTATGTTCCTGATACAGACTCTGATCTACCCACGCTGGCCATTGGGGTTTCTGAGTCAGCTCCCAAAGTGTCAGGCCTTATTTTTCTTCTGTGACTTCCTCAGTACGGCCGCCTCATTGACCTCTGCCAGCCCACACAAAAGAAGTATCAGATTGCTGTAACCAAGGTTTTGGGCAAGAACATGGATGCCATCATCGTGGACTCAGAGAAGACAGGCCGGGACTGTATTCAGTACATTAAGGAGCAGCGTGGGGAGCCTGAGACCTTCTTGCCTCTTGACTACCTGGAGGTGAGGCTGGTATCAAGACAGTGTGTGAAAGACCCTCCTCCTCGCCTCCCATGTTCTGCCACCCACTGAGCTTCTTCCTACAGGTGAAACCTACAGATGAGAAACTCCGGGAGCTGAAGGGGGCCAAGCTGGTGATTGATGTCATTCGCTATGAGCCACCTCACATCAAAAAGGCCCTGCAGTACGCTTGTGGCAATGCCCTTGTCTGTGACAATGTGGAGGATGCCCGCCGCATTGCCTTTGGAGGCCATCAGCGCCACAAGGTATGGAGTCCCTTGCCCAGATTGGAGCTGGACAGGCTGGCTTCCTATTGGAGATGCGTCTGTTCAGCTTCTCTGTTCTCCCTTCTGTGTGTAGACAGTGGCCTTGGATGGGACCCTGTTCCAGAAGTCAGGAGTGATCTCTGGTGGGGCCAGTGACCTGAAGGCCAAGGCGCGGCGCTGGGATGAGAAAGCGGTAGACAAGTTGAAAGAGAAGAAGGAGAGGTTGACAGAGGAGCTGAAAGTAAGCCACTGGCCACATTGTCCCTGGGAGTGGGGGTCCGAAGCTCCGGCCAGCCACCTTCTTACCGCCTTGCCCTTCTTTCTTGCCCACTCCAGGAGCAGATGAAAGCCAAGCGGAAAGAGGCAGAGCTGCGCCAGGTGCAGTCTCAGGCCCACGGGCTGCAGATGCGGCTCAAGTACTCACAGAGCGACCTGGAACAGACCAAGACACGCCATCTAGCCCTGAATCTGCAGGTGGGGTCTGGCCCCAGCCCTGTTTTCTAAAGCTTTCTCTGGGGGTAGGGAACTTGTTCTGCTCCCCTCTCTCCCAGGCTGCTCCAGGGAACCAAGCATAGCGCAGTCAGCCAGCCAGGGGTTCAGATCTTGGCTCTGTGTAACATTATGCAAACCTATCAGTGTAAGTTTTTTTGTCATTAGCTGTAAAATGGTAGTTAGGATACTACTTGCTTTATTAGGGTCATTGTGAAGATTGAGTGAGTTAGTACATGTAAAGTGCTTAGACTGATTCTTCGCACCCAGTAAGTGCTCAGTAAATATTAGGGGCTGTTATTAGCAGAATTCATTCATTTAATAAATATTTGAGCTTCTTCTATAAGTGAATGGATAGTGAGCTATAGGCATTTCAGTCCCTGTGTGGGGTACTCTTCTAGATGTTAATGTGTTTGATCATGACGTGCTTCCCCAGACCACCCTGGAAGCGGTGTGTGTGTGTGAGTAGTTTTGCCTTTTTCTAAAATTAAAAAGTCTGAGTTTTCTAAAACTTCTGAAGCTCTGTGGTAGTTCGAGAGACGATGGAGTTTTGACTGGTGCTAAGTCACGTTCTCTCAGCGTGTGGAGAGCTAGCCCTTTGTGTCCATGGCCAGGGAACTCAGGTGGCTCCTTCCTCTAAGGAGCCTGGTCTCTTTTTAACGCTCTCAACCCCATTTCCTGCAGGAAAAGTCCAAGCTGGAGAGTGAGCTAGCCAACTTTGGGCCTCGCATCAATGATATCAAGAGGATCATCCAGAGCCGAGAGAGGGAAATGAAAGACTTGAAAGAGAAGATGAACCAGGTTGGTGGAGGAGCCATGCCAGCATGTGCATCAGGGCAGGGCTGGGGCTGGAAGCAGCACTCTGACCCAAAGCGCCTTTGCCCTCCTTTGCTTCTGTCAGGTAGAGGATGAGGTGTTTGAAGAGTTTTGTCGGGAGATCGGTGTGCGTAACATTCGGGAGTTTGAGGAAGAGAAGGTGAAGAGGCAGAATGAGATCGCCAAGAAGCGGTAAGTGTAGAGACTGCAGTGCCTCTGAGACCCCAGCCTGATGTCCTGGAAAGCCAGATGCCATCATAAGGCTGGGAGCAGCTCTTGGATGGGTGTTCATTATAGGTCAGCCTTAGAGAACAGGGACATTAGGGAGGTGATGTCACACAGTCTAGTGGGTAAGAGGGCCAACTTTAAGTGTGGTTTACCTGGGTTAAAAATCCCAGCTCCACAGCTCGTGTTGGACAGTGACTTGATCTCTCTCAGCCCCTGTTTCCTTATCTATAAAATGGGATAATGACACCTGTGTCATGCATGGCATTGTTGGGCAGATCAGGTGAAATAATCCTTATAAAGTATTTAGCATAATACTTAGCACCTACTAAGAGCAATAAATATTAGCTTTTTAAAATAATCCTGAGGTGTTGGGGTTTTTTTTAAGATATATTTTTATTGATTTCAGAGAGGAAGGGAGAGGGAGAGAGAGAACAACATCAATGATGAAAGAGAATCGTTGATTGGCTGCCTCTTGCGCCCCCCTACTGGGGATCGAGGCTGCAACCCAGGCATGTGCCCTGACCAGGAATCGAACTGACCTGGTTCATACATAGGTATATGCTCAACCACTGAGCCACACTGGCTGGGCAAATATTAGTTTTATTATTATCATTATCCTGATAGGCAATGCAGGTGAGGAGTAACAAATTTCTAGGTTAGAAGAATAGTAAGAACAAAACAACAGTTTCTCCTCTTCCCCACTTCAGTTTATTCATTTGTTCAGCAGACATTTCTTGAGTACCTATGTTGTGCCAAGTTGTCCTGTGCTAGGTATTGGAGGGAATTGGGAGATGGGGATAAGGCAGATGAACATAACACAGTCTCCCTGAAGTTCATCTGCTGCCCCCTGAGCCTCAATTGGCAGTTCACATAGCCCACAACCCATACAGTAAATATTCATTGCTCTTCTACCCCCAGGCCAAGCTCAAGGGATATAGAATTAAGTCAGAAACTGCCCCTGCCCTCAGTGAGTTGAGTTATGGAGTAGTAGGGGAGATAAACAGGTAAATCAGCAACTTCAGATTAATATGATCAATACTGTACCTTAGGTAGATACAAAATACAGAGGAAATGGTCAAGGAACTTCAAATCAACAAGAGGAAAAATCCAAACAAGAGACCCAATAGAAAACTGGACAGAGGATGTAGTTAGCATGTCATGGAAACAGGAAGTTTGAATGGCTAATTACAAAGTGATATTCAGTCTCATTCCTAATCAGAGAAATGTAAATTAAAACAATCTAGAGGTATTCAGTGAAAATAAGTCTCCGGCAGTTCTGTGACTTAGCAAAGCCACACCTGGGTATGTATCACAGAGAGTCTTGTCACAGGGTCACAGAGAGACACATTCAGGGCCGTTTATCTTGTCATAATTCGGTAGTAGGATGTTGGTGCAATGTAGACAGCCATTATGAGGGAAAGTATAAGTGAAATGTGATGAATCTACAGACTCCTGAATACTCTATAGCTGTTTAAAGCAAGAACTAGATTTATGGGCAGTGCCCTGTATAAATGTACAGCACCATGCATTTGTGTAAGTTGAAAAACAAAATGACATTTTATAAGGGTATGCATTTTAAGGCTATGTACATATGTTTGTGTATGTGTGTATATATATCTGTCGCTTTGGAGTGCACGCTCACTGTAAAGAAGAAAAGGGGAGTGAAAATCAGGGAGTGAAGCAGAGGAGGCAAAGGAAGGGTCTTGCACAGACAGCAATCATAAATGCGTTAGGAACCGTGGGATGTGATTAGCTCAACGGTTATGCAGGGAGGAATCCAACAAAGTGTAATAGAAACTAGGAACCTGATCACAGCCTTCGGGAAAGGTTTTACAGAACAAGGAATGATGAAATGGAGACCTGTAGAGTGAGTAGGATTTAGCCAGCCGGGCAGCAAAGTCCCAGGCAGTGAGAACAGCATGCTCAGAGGTGTGAGGGATCATGCCTTGTTCTGGAAACTAAAGAGTTCTGAATGTCTGCAGCATAGAAACGGGGTCAGGTGGAAGGCGGGGATGGTGGAGAGGTCAGCGGGGGCCAGATCACAGAGGGCTTTATGAGTCATGCTTAGGAGATTGGACTTAAAATTGAATAGCTCAAAATTATAGAGTCAATTACATTTCATTTGGATTATAGTGACTAATAGGTTTAAACTGCCAGCATGACATCTGGCAGCATCTATGACACCACATTGGGGGTGTGGGGCCGCTGGAAGTATCTGTATGCTGGTTACATATTCTTTGAGTTCTGAAGAGATGGTGAGGAGGGCAATAGCAGGAATCTAGTATTTTCTCCATGGTTTTTTGCTACCCAAGCTCTACTACCCCTTAGAAGTTATGGGATCTTGGGGTGGGGGTGCACATGTACGGGCCATAGTTGGAACGAGTCAATATGAGTCGAATACCTGGCAGTAATGATGGTAACTACAATTAACTGAGTACTTAACTGGGTGCCAGGTATGGTTCTAAGGACATACATATTAACTCTCAGTAACTCCAAGGTAAGTACTATTATTATTTCCATTTTACAGATGAGGAAGCAGAGGCCTGGAAAGGATAACTAACTTGCCCGAGAGTACACTACTAGTAAATGGCAGAGTTGGGATACCATTCCTCTTATCCCACCACAATGGACTGCACCAGTGCCATAGGAGAAGGAGCCTGGGTTTGGTGCTAGGCCTGGGTTTCCATCTCACATTTGCCATTTACTAGCTATGTGGCCTTGGGCAAAGGTCTTTTACCTCTTGGCCCAAGTCTCCTTATTTGTAAAATGAGGATAATAACACCTAGTTGTGGAGCTGTTGATTAGAGGATTAGAGGTAATGTATGTTAAGTACACAGAAGCTTAATAAATAGGACTTATGGCTGGTGGGTTGAGGTGGACCTTTTTGTGCTTCCATCTAGGAAGTTGCGGGTGGAGGGTCTGGAGTCCTCCAGTGTTTAAAGGGAGACTAATGGATTTTGGCCCGGTTTCCCCTGGCTTGTGCCATTTCCAGAAAGCTTGGCTGAGGAACTTAATTCTCCAACTTCAGGGAACAGTTTTATGTGGATGTGGATGGATGAGCTGGGTGGTGACTGAAATTTAGCAGTGACCCTGGATCCCTACGACCTGGGCCTAGTTCTCCTTTCTCCCCACAGTTTGGAGTTTGAGAATCAGAAGACTCGCTTGGGCATCCAGTTGGACTTTGAAAAGAACCAACTGAAAGAGGACCAGGATAAAGTACACATGTGGGAGCAAACGGTGAAAAAGGATGAAAATGAGATAGAAAAGCTCAAGAAGGTAAGGAAAGAGAGCATGAAAAGAACTCCCATGTACCCATCACCAAGAGTCATTAACATGTTGCCATATTTGCTTTTGCAGACTCTCTCTGTGGATGCATATTCCTTTAAAAAAAAAATTATTTTTATTTATTTCAGAGAGGAAGGAAGAGGGAGAGAGAGAGAGAAACATCCATGATGAGAGAGAATCATTGATTGGCTGCCTCCTGCACGCCCCACACTGGGGATTGAGTCTGCAACCTGGGCATGTGCCCTGACCGGAATCGAACCATGACCTCCTGGTTCATAGGTTGATGCTCAACCACTGAGCCATGCTGTCTGGGCTGTGCATATTCTTTTTATGAGCCATTTGAGAGTAAGTTGTCAATACGTCCTCTCTATGTGACTTTAAGATCAAAATGAAAACAAAACACTCCCCTTTTAAACAATCAGACTATAGTCCCCTGTGACTGACCACTCATTCCCAGTCTTCTTATTCTTCCTGGGGCTAACTCCATGGAATGTATATCTTTCAAACCTGCAGGTACTGATTGACTTGAATACTTCAACATTCATGTATGTGTACTCATAGAAAAAATCCACCATATTGTTTGTGTGGGTTTAAAAAAAAAATTGATGTTATTATATAGCTCACAACAGTAGTTTTGATGTGGAAAAGATGCTCAAGTATAACAAATCAAAAATATCGAGTTTTAATTACAATCTAGCCTTAACTTTGTGGATCTGTCCTATAAGTAATGCTGGGAGGAAACGGGCTAAAATATTGATTGGTTATCTCTAGCTGGTAGGATTATGAGTGATTTTTGTCATCCCCGCTAAATACTTTTTCTGTATTTTGAACTTCTGTACAGTAGGCAACTGGTAAAATGGGCAACCAGATAATTTAGAATAAGATAAAAGAAGCTTGAGAGGTGAGAAGGGTTTGTGAAAGCAGAACTCATTGAAGAGAGGCTCCAACAAACTGGTGAAAAGGGTGGGGACAGAAGGAGAAGATCCTAGGAGAGATAAGGAAAGCCTTCACCTCTTGTCCTGTTCCCCCTGCTGGGACCAGGAGGAACAAAGACACATGAAGATCATAGATGAGACCATGGCCCAGCTGCAAGATCTAAAGAATCAGCACCTGGCCAAGAAGTCAGAGGTGAATGACAAGAATCACGAGATGGAGGAGATTCGTAAGAAACTGGGGGGCGCCAACAAGTGAGTGGGTTCAGGCCTGGGGTTGGGGCAAGTAGGTATGGCAGGCAACCTGCTGGATTTGGGTCTCACCTTTTTCCCTGGATCTTCTTAGGGAAATGACCCATTTACAAAAGGAGGTGACAGCCATTGAGACCAAGCTTGAACAGAAGCGCAGTGACCGCCACAACCTGCTACAGGCCTGCAAGATGCAAGACATCAAGTTGCCACTGTCCAAGGGCACCATGGATGATATTAGTCAGGAAGAGGTGAGTATCAGGGTTGGTGTTGGGAGTGGGCTGTGAGCAACATTAACCAGGGATGGGAAGAAAATGTGAAAGTGACCTGGGAGGACAGGAGAGAGAGAGAGAGAGAGAGAGAAATCATGGGACATAAGGAGGGATGGCAGGGGAGGCTGTGGAGACAGACGAGGTGAAAAGTAGTGGCGTGGTGTGACAGGGAAGTTGCATTGGGGGTAGAGCTGTATGTCGGTGGTGAGGGAGGTAAGCCAGGAGAACATGAAATCTTTCATTAACCTTAGGAATTGAGCTGTTAGCTCCAGCAGGTGATGGATATTGGTAGGAGCAGCAATTGAGGGACATTAGCCAAGAGGAAAGGAAGATGGAAGGTGGAGGACCTGAGGGATGATCGCTTAGCTGCAGTGAGGGAGGTTGGCCAGGAGAGGGTTGGGTAAGGGACATCAGCAATGCAGAGGTGACGAAGCTTATAGGAAAGGGAGGGCCACTAGCTGATAAAAGGGCCAAGTCATTTTATCCACTGGAAGTGAGGATTGGTAGCAAGGGGTGGGAACGTTAACTGAGGAGGTTTGCGTAGGTCTTGTCTTCTACTTGGACAGGTATCTCAGTCCCACATGTCCTCCTACATCCCCTATTCCAAAATAGCATTTCACTTTAATTCAGCAAAATATTGTGAACACCAGAAATGCACCAGGGCTTAAGGTATCATGTGACATGATTACTCCTAATTAAACCACATCTCTGCCAGGCAGGCATTGCTCCACATTAGAGATGAGAGAGCCCAGATCCCACAGAATGATTTGAACAGAAGCCCAGTGGTTCTGTGAAGGGAGATCACACTCTTAGGCAGCGATAGAGCCCAATTTTGAACTCAGATCTTTCTGCCTTCAAAGCTGCTGTCCTGCCACAAGGTGCTTTCTCAGTCATTGAAGGTGCCAAGGAGCCCCAGCCCCTTCTAGAGGGGCCCTCTCCTGGCCGGTCTGCTCCATTCCACTCCCTGTTGTCATTGCAGGGTAGCTCCCAGGGGGAGGATTCTGTGAGTGGTTCTCAGCGAACTTCCAGTATCTATGCACGAGAGGCCCTCATCGAAATTGACTACGGCGACCTGTGTGAGGATCTGAAGGTGAGGATCGGCCTCGGAGGTTGGGGGACATTTTCCCACTGTCCAGAGAGTAGGTCAGCTCATCTGGGGACCCTCTGGAGACCAGGGCCAGAAAGAGGGACAAGCTGGCAAGAGAGGGAGGGTCGAGTTATGATCCAGGGTCGCCCCCTATATGCACGGATACACCAGCACATCTTCCTCCCTGACCTCAAGTTGCGCCCATCCCTGCCTGCTGCTCATCTTCCCTGATACACACACAAACAGGCTCCTGCACAGACAGAGCTCAGAGGTTCCTCAGCCCTCTGTCCCAGGCGCTCTTCTCATTTGGCTTTTTCTCATCCTGGATCTTTCTTTCAGCTACCATCTTTGTGCTAGGTCCCACAGGTATCTCAGATGCCAGCCCTCCTCCGCAAATCTGCCCCTTCTCCTCAGAGCTGGCCACAAGTTTAAACCAGAAATCTGAGCCTCATGCCAGATTCCCTCTCTCACTTGGCCTATTCAGTGAATTACCAAGCCCTATCCATTCTATCTCCTAAATAGCTATTAAGTCCTCTTTTTTTCCTGTTCCTACCAGTACAGGCCACTTTCACCTCTCACATGGACTACAGGAGCCTCCTAAATAGCTTCTGATGCTTTCCAATCCATCATTATAGCAGGGGGAATTGGTTTTTTAAAAACTTTTTATTGTGGATGTTCTCAAATATACAGAGAATGCTATAATGAACCCCCAGGTACCTATCACTCAGCTTCAGCAATTAGCAACATATGGTCAATCTTGTTTTTTATACCCTTCCATCTCCCCGTTGGCCTATTTTATTTAAATCAAATGCCAGATATTCCATTCATAGAAGGACTCTTTAAAAAGACATAACCACAACTCTTTAATATCATCTAATACTTAGTAAATGTTTAGAGTTCCATGAACATCCCATAAATATCTTTTTTCTTTTGCACAGTTTGTGTGTTTAAATCAGGATTCAAGTGAGGTCCATATGTTAGAATTGGTTTCTTCTAGTCTATAACATTTTTTTCTTCCTATTTATGGAAGAAACTGGGTCATTGGACCTGCACAATTTTCTACATTCCAAATTTGGCTGAGTATGTCCCATCATGTTATTTAACATGTTGTTCCATCCCCTGTATTTCTGTAAACTGGTAGTTAAGTCTAGGGTTTGACTGGATTCAGGTTCATTTTTTATTTTTGACAAGAATACATCATAGGTGGTACTCTGTGCCTGTGAACTTCCTTTCATGTCGCATCAGTGGACACTGAATGTCAGTCCTGTCTTTGTCATGATAAGATTGATCGTTGTTTAACGTTCTTATGAAATATTCTTGCCAAAAACTCAAGGATCTGATCAAGCTTTTATAACCACCAATTATAAGAAACATGGGTGCCAGAGGAACATGTTAAATAAAAGCTCAGGCATGCGTTCAGCCAAATCCATACTGGAAAGTAAAGGACAAAAGACCTGTTCTTTTCCATATATATGGGAAGAAAGAAAATAAATACAGAGGGGGAACTTTTATCAACTATAGCAGACAAATCAACCCATTGGACTATGTGGCTCTCCCTTAAGTCCATTGCAAAGAAAAGAGAGAAAGGGGAATTTATAGATTAAATGAGATTTAAGAGACATGTCAGCCAGTTGCAATGTGTTACCTTACTTGGAACTTGCTTTGAAAACCTGTAAAAAAGAAAATTTTTTTTTCGGTTTGTTTTTGTTAATCCTCATCTGAGGATATTTTTAGAGAGAGTGGAAAGGAGGGAGGGTAGGAGGGGGAAAGGGAGAGAAAGAAACATTGATGTGAGAGACACACACCAATTAGATGCCTCCTGCACACACCATCAGGGCTGGGGATTGAACCTACAACCCAGGTATGCACCCTTGACCAGGAATTGAACCCGAGACCCTTTGGTGCTAGGGACAACGCTCTAACCACTGAACATACCAGCCAGGGCTATAAAAAATTTTTTTATGAAACAATCAGAGCGATTTGAACACTGACCAGATAATTTTTCTTGCTCAGGAATTCCTGCTAATATTTTTAGGTGAGTTAATGGTATTGGATTTTATTTTTAACCATCCTGTCTTTTATAACAGTGGTTCAAAATGGACCATAGGGGACATTTGGTAATGTCTGAAGATATTCCTCACCCCCACTTGTCACAGCTGGGGCGGAGGTTACTACTGGCATCTAGGGATGCTGTGAAACATCCTACAGTACCTAGGACAGCCCCTACACAAACAATGCATGTGGCCCCAAATGTCAGCAGTGTGGAGATTCAGAAATCCTGCTTTGGGGATCAAGTTGAAGTATTTATGGATGAAATGCTATGTCTCAGATTTGTTTTAAAATAATTGAACATAGAAAGGAATTAGGTATAGATGGCAGAGTATTTGCTCTGAGTTGATGATTATTGAAGCTGGGTAATAGGTACATGGGAGTTCATTATATTCTCTGCATTTTTGTGTATGTTTGAAAAAAGAAAACAATCATGATCACTGGGTTTAGACATTGTTAGCCCTATCCATTTTCTTTTTAATCCACCTGAGGGAGTGGATTAAATTTTTTCCATTGATTTTTAGAGAGTGGATGGGATGGGGGAGGGAGGCAGAGAGAGAAGGAAACATCCATGTGAGAGAGACGCATTGATTGGTTGCCTCCCTCTTGTGCCCAGTGCTCGAGTGGCGACCTATGAACCAGGACGTCACAGTTTCTTCTTTATTAGCTAGAATACTGTAAAGAGAGTTTTTTTCTCAATTGTTTGGTTACCCTTGAAGGACAGTTCGTGTAGGAAAGGCAGGATATATATGCTTGATTCTTTCCCTTTATTACCATTTATAAGCTAATGAGTTCTTTCTGTGGCAATCTCAAGGTATGTCCACTAAATTGTTTTCTTATTATGAACTTTGAGGTTTAAACACATTTGGTATGTTGTACTCTGGTGGTGGTTATTCTTATTGATCAAGTTGTCGCATCTTTGCTAGTGGGAACTCATTCAAGTTGGCTTCTGAATCATTTTGACACAGGTCTTGTAGTCTTTGATATCTTCCTTGTTTCCTGGTACTTCCAGACTCTTCCTCTACATTTCCTACCCCGTGTCCTGAATTAGCCATTTCTCTGAAAAGCTCTTATCTTCTTTTAGTCGGAAAATGCTATTATTTAGTGACTACTGTCTGGACACTGGAGTGCTTATAACTGCTGGGTTGCTTGGTGCTTCTAGAACTTTTTGGTAGACTGAGGTACAAAATGTATTTTTTTCTTTTAAAGGAACATGTATCATGAGTTTATATTCATACTTCCAATTTAAATCATAATTCTCTCAGTTCAACATCATTGATTTTATGTTTGAGTCTCCATTTACTCTTGCTAAAAATCTTGGTTCCTAGCTACACTAACATAGTAACATATTTACTCTATTCTGTAATAGTTTGGAAATCACAATAAGATACTATTAGCAACAATTTAATTTTTGAATGCTGTCTAAGATTTCCTTGAGGCTCTTTTTTGTTGTTAAGCTAATAGGTCATTGGGCATGTGTTTCTGTTTTAAAGTAATTTGAAAGAATTCTCTCTTTAACCAACTTAATATATAGTCAGGTATTTTTGTTTAGTTTTTAGTTTTTGTTTTATATATTTTATTGATTTTTACAGAGAGGAAGGGTGAGGGATAGAGAGTTAGAAACATGGATGAGAGCAAAACATTGATCAGCTGCCTCCTGCACACCCCCTACTGGGGATGTGCCTGCAACCAAGGTACATGCCCTTGGCTGGAATCGAACCTGGGACCCTTCAGTCCGCAGGCCGACGCTCTATCCACTGAGCCAAACCAGTTAGGGCTAGTTTTTAGTTTTTAAGGGCTTGCTCTTGTTTTGCATTGTGATTAATTTTTCCCAACTTTAATTTTAAAAATGTTCAAACCTATAGAATAATTGAAAGGTTAGTATAGTGATCATCCATATGCCTTTCACTTTAAATTCACTAATGATTATTTTTCAGTGTGCTTTCTCTCTCAGCTCGATTCCCTTCCCTCTACACTAGACACTTTTTCTGTTTTTGCTGAACTGTTTGAAGGAAGCTGCAGACTTCAACTCTAAATGGTTCAGCATCCTGAGAACAAGGGATCTTCCTCCATAACCACAATTCCATATTACACCTAAGAAGAGTAACAGTAATTTCATATCCTGCCCATATTCAGATTTCTCTAGGTGTTTCAAAAGTGCCTTTTATAAAAGCTTAAACACAGCAAACTATGATCCAATCATATGTTGCTTTTGGTTCTTCTGTCTCTTTAATTTCCATTAATGTGGAATATTCCCCTCACCTTTTTATTTTTTTTTCATAACTGATCTTTTGAAGAGTCTGTTTGTTGCCTTTTATTTTTTTTCTATGTGTTGGCTCAGAGAATGGATATGTTAGGGGTACGTTATAGATATGTCAGTTTGTTTTCATTGTTGCTTAACTTGTTCTTCCTGTGAGTTGGGAGTTTGATCTCTTCTGGAGGCTTGATGGATTTGGGTTAAGTAATTTTTTGGCAAGAACATTTCATTGGTGTTGCTTTGTATTTTGGATTGCGTTATGCCAGGAGGCACATACTGTCAGGATGTCCCATATTCACGATGCTAAGTTTGGTCCTCAGTTAAGGTATCATGGCCAGATCTCGCAACACTAAACATATACTTTTACCTTTGTACATAGTTAGAAAACTTTAGGGTGATTTTTTGGCATCTTGTGAACATCTTGTTCCCCAACAATTGTTTTTAATATATTTTTTTGTTGAGAAATTTTAATGTTGACGTTATTGCAGGTGTCCCTCCTTACCCCTTCCCTTTACCCACCTCCACCCACCCCTGCCTCTCCCTCCCTTGGCCTTCACCAAACTACTGTCTGTGTCCATGGGGTATTCCTATATGTTCTTTAGCTAATTCCTTCACCTTCTCTATCTAGTCACCCCACCCAACAATTTTTTTGCCCAGTGTTTTCCACATTTTGGTTGAATTCTCTTATAATTATGTAGTCTTCATATGGTTCTAAAACGAAAAGTATAGTATAAGGCACATGAAGAGAAGTTTAGCTTCCTTTCCTGTCCCCGTCACCTCTTATCCTTTCTGTAACCATTTTAATTAGCTCTTGGATTATCCTTTTTTTTTGCTGCTGTACTTTTGAAAGACAAATACATTTGTATGCAAATATATTCATATTCCTTCTCTCAGATGAAAGGTAGCATTGCATTGAGTACCTTTTGTGTTTCACAGATCCTAGAGACCACTTTACACCAGTATTTAGAAATCTTCACAAGGGCTTTTCTAAAATATATTTATATATATAGTCATGTCATTCCTGTGCTTAAAGGCATTCGGTGGAGCGTCACGTCTTTTGGAAAAATTCCAAACCTCTTAAATACTGAAAGGCCCTTCATCATCAGGCTTCCTCGTTTGCCTGTAGCCTTGATTCTTCACAGCGTGCACGCGCGTGAACACACATACACACAGTTGCCACTTTTGCAATGTTGAATTGCCCTTTTTGTGGGGTGGAGGGGCTTTGAATTTTTTTATTGTTGCTGACACTATTACAGATCTCCCCCATTTCCCCCTCCCCCCAGCCCATCTCCACCCAGTGACATTTTTAAGGTTGATTACTCTTTTGAATTGCTTCAAATTCCTTGAAGGAACTATGAGCAAACCCCTGTTTTTGCATATGATGCCCCCGTCTGCCTAGAAGCCTATTCTTTCTCTCCGGCCTCACCATTCAGCCTGCAGGCCTAAGCTTAAACATATTCCTAGAAGCCTTCCCTAGCCGCAGAGTCTGATTTAGGTGACCTTGTGTGCTAACCCCACATGTCTGTTGATTGGAATATTGGTATCACCACATAGTGTCCTGATCATGTACTTGTATGCATTCCCTTGTTAGTCTGCCAGCTCTGTGAGCACAGGAACCAAGGCTCACAGGATTTCAGGGCCCTGGTGCCTGGCACTGGAAAGGCATTCAGTAAATATTTATTGACTAAAAGTGGCAGAAAGGCACAAGCCCAAACATGCATCGCAATATCCATAAAACCTAAAACCAAACGCAAGTGGAATTTGCTCAGATGTAGTGATCTGGTTATTTATTGTACAGTCCCGGCCAGCCTGTGTGGGAGTCTCTAGGTCACCCTGGGATGGTGCTGGCTCATGGCCTGGGCTGAGAGCCAGAGAGGGGCCCCACCAGCTGCTCCTGAGAGACGGAGAAGTTGACAGGGCTGGGGGGAAGGGCTAGAGATGAGAAAGCGGCATCAGCCTGTGGTTTCCGGGGGTGGCGGGATGGTTACTGTGGGAGGAACCGAGCTGGGGAAGAACCTGAACTGTACTCAGGAGCAGGTCCCCATGTGTTCAAGCATCTCTGGGGACCTGGGCTGTGGACCCTGGCCCTCCTTGATGTCATTGGGCCTGGGGTTTACAGGACGCTCAGGCTGAGGAGGAGATCAAGCAGGAGATGAACACACTGCAGCAGAAGCTGAATGAGCAGCAGAGCGTGCTGCAGCGTATTGCTGCCCCCAACATGAAGGCCATGGAAAAGCTGGAAAGTGTCCGAGACAAGTTCCAGGAGACCTCGGATGGTAGGATTTCCCCCTTTTACTTGGACCCGAGATGAAGACAGGAGGCTGGAGGCGTGGCAAGGGCCTGTTATACATCCCAAGAGCTCCCTCCCGTTTTTGCATGCTTTCTTACTTGAAACTCCCTAGAGGCCTTAACAGTAGAGGTTATCATGCCTGTTTTATAGTGGAAAACTGCTACGGTTCAGAGAGGGCGAATTACCTGCGACGGTTACACAGCTGGTTGCTGGTAGAGCCCAGGGAAGAATTCATGTTTATGTGGCTCCAAACCCATGTTTCTTCCTTTGCACCATGTGGCCCGTCCTCCGGATACAGCTGGTGGTGGGACCCTCTTCCTGGGACTCTCCCCAGGCATTCATTTCCCTCTGTGGGGTATCGCTGCTCTGGAGATTGTGATTTGCAGGTCATTCTTGTCAGACAACGTGGTCCTCAGCCTTGCAGAGCCTGGGCACTGAGGAGTCACCTGTCTTTCCCTTGTGGCAGAGTTTGAGGCAGCCCGAAAGCGAGCCAAGAAGGCCAAGCAGGCATTCGAACAGATCAAGAAGGAGCGCTTTGACCGCTTCAATGCTTGTTTTGAATCTGTGGCCACCAACATTGATGAGATCTACAAGGCCCTGTCCCGCAACAGCAGTGCCCAGGTAGGCTGGAACTCCTTACCCAACCAGCCCCTGTCATCATCAGTTGCCCTTCCCTCAAGGCTTCCTGTCCGATCCCCGTCCAGACCCAAGTCCTCACCCATCTGCCTCCGCCCTAGGCATTCCAGGGCCCTGAAAACCCTGAGGAGCCCTATTTGGACGGCATTAACTACAACTGCGTGGCTCCTGGCAAACGCTTCCGGCCCATGGACAACTTGTCAGGCGGAGAGAAAACTGTGGCAGCTTTGGCCCTGCTCTTTGCCATTCATAGGTAAGGCTGTGCCCGCCAGCACAATTGGTGGAGAGACTGAACTTAGGCCACTGGAGACTCTGGGGCCCAAGGATCTGCAGAGATCTGCAGGGGTGACGGTGTTCTGGTGGAATCGGAATTGCGCCCCTGTTTCCCTACCTACTACTATACCTGGCCTTTGTTTCCTAGGCCCATTTTCCCCACCATCCTCATCTCAGCAGCATGCCCTCACCAGCCCCGCATGTATTCAGTCCTCCCACCAGAGTGTTGCTCACAAGATTGTTGATCAGCCTTTTCCATGCAAATACAGTTTGACCGTCACCAATCACCCCATTCGTGTCTCATTCTCCTCCTGTTCCTCTGGGAAGCCTGTTTTGACCTGAAAAGCATACCTTGACCTTCCCCTCCTGAATGCCACTTGTACTTGAATATGACCCCCACAACCTAGTGCTGGATTGTACAGTGTCATTCAGTGAGCATTTCTTGAGGGCCGCTCTGTACCAGACCCTCTGGGGCTATTAATGTCACAGATGAGTCAGACATGGTCTTTGTCCTCAAGGAGCTGTGGTTTAGTGGTAGCCAGATGTGCAAGCAGGCAGTGAGCTTGGTTTTGTAACCAGGTGAGGGTATGTGCTGTGGATGCACAGAGGAGGGGCACCACCCACTGTAGAGAAGGATTAGGGCTGGCCAGCAAAGGCTTTTGGAGGTAAAGTAGGTAACACATGAGCAGGAAATGTAAAGAATGAGTAGAGTCCTGCCGGTGTGGCTCTGTGGTTGAGTGTCAACCTATGAACCAGGAGGTCACAGTTCAATTCCTGGTCCGGGCACATGCTCGGGTTGCGGGCTCGATCCCCAGTGCAGGGCATATAGGAGGCAGCAGATCAGTGATTCTCTCTCATCATTGATGTTTCTCCCCTCTCCTCTCTCCTCTCCTCCCTTCTCCCCTCTTCCTCTCCTCCCTCTTCCTCTCCCTTCCTCTCTGCAATCAATATATAAAAGAATGAGTAGAAATTGGCCAGGGAGAGAGGAGGCATTGCAGGCGGACTTTGTAGCATGTGTGCAGGCAGGGAGACATGAGAGTAAACTGCAGGTGGGCAGGGCAGACTTCTAGACGACCTGGTGAGTATGGCCAGAGCCTAGGGCAGCTTCACCTCCCCAGCCAGCCTGGAGGCTCTGGGGAGGGCTGTGTCTGCTGATTCTACAGGATCCGGGAGCACAGGGCTGGTTGCTACGGAGGGCTCAGTGGGTCTGGGCTCAGTTGGTCTGTTGGCCTTAGGGGCTCGAGGAACATGAAGGCTTGGGTTTTTCATCTCTGAAGAAGTGGAGGGGAATCTGGCCTGAGTGATGGGCCCTGGGGCTGTTGTGCCTCACCCCTACCCCATCCATGTCGCTTACCTATTGGTCCCGTCCCCTCCTCCAGCTACAAGCCGGCCCCCTTCTTCGTCCTGGATGAGATTGATGCCGCCCTGGATAACACCAACATTGGCAAGGTGGGTGCAAGGAAAGAGGGGCATCCCTAGGCTGGGGCTGGGTTTCAGGGGGCAGCTCCTGAATATGCCCTAACTTTTCCTGCTGTTTGCTTTCTGTGTGGGGAGGCTGGGCCCAGGGTCATTCATGCCCTGCTAGTCAGTGGCCTCTTCTTAGTATCTCCTCTCCCTGTACCGCCGCCTCTGCTTCTGGTACTGACTGGAAAACACAAGGTATTATTAAGGCTTCAACCCTACTGTGTGTTGGTGGTCCCTTCCACAGGTGGCCAACTACATCAAGGAGCAGTCGACCTGCAACTTTCAGGCCATTGTCATCTCTCTCAAGGAGGAGTTCTACACCAAGGCCGAGAGCCTCATTGGAGTCTACCCTGAGGTAGGGCGGACCTGGAACCAGCCCCACTCCCTGCTTGACTCCCCGGGGCAGGACGGGAAGGCCACAGTGAAGGGGTGCGGGGCGGGGAAGCACAGAGACTCAAGCCCTGAACGGCCATCTGGGCTGGTTGGAACTCTGCCCTGGAGGCTTACCCAGCCCAGCTGGGCAGGGCCATTGCATTTGGGGACAAATGGAAAGGCCAGGCTTAGGCAGCCAGACAAAAACAGCAGCGGCATGCAGAGGTGGGCAGGGAGAGGCACACGGGACTGAGCATGGCCTCTCACACCCAGAGAGAACCACTGCTTGGGCTTTGGGCAGGTATGTAGAATGGAGGCTTGAGGCCCCCAGTTCTGGGATGCTTAGACCCCTCTTAATTCTCTCCTTACAATTTCATTTTTCTTTCTCTCTCTCCTCCTTCAGCAAGGGGACTGTGTGATCAGCAAAGTCTTGACCTTTGACCTCACCAAGTACCCAGATGCCAACCCCAATCCCAATGAGCAGTAGCAGTTCTGCCCTCCCACCCTATCTGGATCCCTAAGCTGCCCATCTGCCAATCTCTGGATATTTGGCTTCCAACCTTCCCTTACCTCCTCTCCCTGTTTGCTATTGTCATGGGATTTAGGCGCTGCTATTGAGCACAAAGAGGAACAGAGGTGATGTTAAGTCTGGAGCAAAAACTCCTGAGCTACAGGGAGCATCCTGGCCTCTGTAAGGAGGTGCTGAGCTAAACAGGGCCATTGTCTATCCCCTCCCCCGAAACCTCGCCTTCCATCGGCCCATAATCATGGGTCTGTGGGACCCCTTGCATTTTGCTTGTGTGTGGGTATGTGTGTGTACATGTGGTTGTATTTGCAAAATAATGATATGATATTGGAGACTCATTTTAGAAGGAACCTAGGTTGGCCCTGGCCGGCGTGGCTCAGTGGTTGGAGCATCGGCCTGCAGACTAAAGGGTCCTGAGTTTGATTCCCGGTCAAGGGCATGTATCTGGGTTGCAGGCTTGATCCCCGCCCCTGGTCCAGGTGTGTGTGGGAGGCAACCAATCGATGTATCTCTCACATCGATGTTTCTCTCTCCCACACTCCCCCCTCCCTTCCACTCTTTAAAAATCAACCAGAAAAAATATCCTCATTTCTCCAGTGAGGATTTAAAAAAATAATAATAATAAGGAACCTAGGTTGAATTTGACTCCAAGAGAGCTTTGTATGACCGCCCCCCAGAACTGGGCAAAGGTATTCAGGACCTCATAGGAAGGAGTCAGGCAGCCACATGAGACTGCCTGCATCCCCTCATTTGTGTTTTCATTTATTTGTGTATTTATCAAACACATTGAGCATGCTGTTTGTCAGGCTCTCTGATAGGAATGCAGAGCTGAATCATGTGATCCCTCCTAAGGAGATGCGTTGGGTTCAGGAGTTCCTGTGGTTAGCTGAATCATGTATAGGCACTTTGAATTTGAGGAGACCACCACCTCCAGGCTTCCTGGAGAAGGTCGGATTGGAACTGGGCATTAATAAATCGGTAGGATTTGGTCAGGCACTAGGAACAGGGCCTGGGCACTAGGAGCAAAGCCCGGGCTCTAGGGACAGACAGTTGCAGGTTCTAGTTCCGTTTTTTAAAATTCAGAGGTAGAAAAAATAATTCCTAGAAGAAATGGGTGTAGGAAACAACAGTAGAGGTAACAGAAGGGCTCTAGGCGCTTGGGAGCAAGGAAGGTAATGGTAATGCCCTTGGGCGGGGGTGGGGTTGGGGTGGCGGGGAGGGGAGGGGCGCGGAAGAAGTGCAGGTGTGCTTCCAGGAGGGAGAGCCCTAGTCCCATTTTTTTAATCACTCGCTCGTGTGACATTGGGCAAGTCATTTGACCTTTCTGTGCCTCACTGTTTCCTCATCTGTAAAATAGGGCTAACAGTATTACCTACCTCACATAGGTTTTAATGATGTCAAGCTTCTCACTGGAGGCCTTACCCCTGCCTGGAGCCCACTAGGTGCTGAACCCTCAGAATACAGCCTTCTCATGTCTGGATCCCTGAGGGCTCCTGATCCCAGTTGTTAGGAACAGAAGGAGCCTCCAAATCTGGGAGATGCTGAATGTCCTGGTTACTAGGAAAGTCCTGGGCACTGATGGGGGAGGGGTTACCTGGTACGTGGACGGCCTAAGGAAATCTGTAGCTTCAATCGTATATAATAACTGGGTGCCCGGGCCCCAACCTGATTGTGAGGAAGTAGGGAGAGGTGGCCTGGGCCACACCCTAGCCAAACACATTGATGTTCGTTTTGGGAACTAGCTGCATTAGCTGCAGGGACCGTGCTGGGCACAGCCTGCTGCCACGAGGTCAGTCTGCGCTTGTTCACACACACCACCAGACCGTTACCCTGTCCTGATCTGCATACTGCATAGTTGTTTTTGAAAAGTTAAGTCAGTTCTAATTGCTCAAGTCATCCGCGAATCCACTCTTTTTAAGAAATTAGATGATTACAAATAAAGGTAGCCTCGCTCGCCGCCATTTTCCTTCCCTCCCTTAACTGCTGTTCGTTTGTTGTACATCTTTCTATCTAGACTTTAAGATTTTTACATATACTAATTCGTTGGAAGTGTTACTGTGTTTAATGCAGACGATATATATGGACATTTCCTGCAATTTGCTTTCTTGGCCTAATGCTTTTGGGATCAGTGCATGTTGCTAATCGATTCATGTCATCCTTTGTAATCACTGTATAGATCTCTGTCATAAGACTATTTTATGGTTTTGATATTACAAAATACATAGGAGCATTGTGTGTGTGCGTGTGTGTGTGTGTGTGTTTGTGTGTGTGAATATTTACCTGTGATCAATGCCTAAAAATTGAATTGAAAAAGTCATAGGCTATTTATATTTTTGTTTTTAATAGATACTTCCAAATTGCCCTCCTGTACCACTTACTCAATATTTTTCTTCAGTTTGTCTTAGTTTTAACATCATGAACTTCAATTTTCATCCTAAGTAGTGATATCATGAAATCACGGGTTTTATGTGTTGTTACGTTGTTTTTTAATGCATATTAAATGGTATAATCAAAACAAATTTGTCTGTGTTCAATCAAAGAAGTCCCATACCACCAGTGTGCCGTAGTTTGGGAAGTACTAGCATAATTATAAGCATTGTTCGGGAGTCACCCTGGTTCAAATCCCAGCTGGGGCAGCTTGAGCCTATTCCTTCACCTGCATGGGCCTCAGTTTCCTCCTGTAGGAAAGGAGCTCATAGAAGCCTACCTTGCAGCCGTGCAGGGAGGATGGAGGGAAGTATGTTTGAAGTACTGGCTGACACATTATCACAGGCCTTTAAAGGTAGCGATTGCTGTTCTCCCCATTTACAGAGGGGGAAACAGGCCCAGGAAGGGTAAGTGACCCAGATAACAGAGTTTGAACTCGGGCCCTCCGATTCTGTCTTGGGGTTTCTCCACTGAGGGTGCTTATTCACCTTGGATTTGTACTTGCCTCACTTGTGAAGCTTCTTCCTTTTTAAAAGTCAAAGCAATATGTACACAGGTTGGAAAATAAGGTTGTACAGAAGGGCTTATAATCAAAAGCAGTAGCTCCCTGCTGCACCTCCACAGCCAAAGACTAGAGCTCTGTGCTCTGGTCCTGCCCCTGGAAATCTTCAGTAGGGTGTGGGTAATAATCTAGATCAGCGGTTTTCAACCCTTTTTCTTTTTTCAAAAAAGTATATTTTTTACTGATTTCAGAGAGGAAGGGGGGGAGAGAGAGAGAAAGATAGAAGCATCAGTGATGAGAAAGAATGATCAGCCGCTTCCTGCACGCTCCTCATGGGTTCGAGCCCGAAACCCAGGCATGTGCCCTGACAGAGAAACCGTGATCTGGTTCATGGGTCAACACTCAACCACTGAGCCACGCTGGCCGGGCTCAACCTTTTTCATCTTGTGGCACATAATACAACAATTTGGTGACACACAAAAAAACAGATTTTTTTTTTTTTTTTTGCTGAGCTGACTAAATGAAAAAGGTATCATTCACGTCGGATGGCTATTGTGTTGGCTGTTGTCATTTTTTTATTTGACAACCTAAGGGAAAAGAGGTCAGTGCCCCTGACTAGTCAGATTATTGCATGTTTTAAGAATTCATTGCGAGCTTTAAAAATTCTTGCGGCAAGCCGGGGAAATCGCTGATCTAGATAACATTCCTACCTCACAGGGTGGAAAGGATTACATGCTATGCCTTGGGCTATGGCCCTGGAACACAGGAACACAATTGCTAGAAGGATCTTACATTCTGAGGATCAGAGAAGAGATAACTTGTCTGAGATCTCAGTGTTTCAGTGTCAGAGTCTAGACTTCAACTTGATTCTTCTCTGTGCTTGCCTAGAGCCTTCCTGTTGTGCCTCACCGCCTCCTATCATCACAAGGTAATGTGCTCAGTACAAGGTAATGTGCTCACAAGGTAATGTGCTCAGTGAAGGCTGTGCTCAGAGGAGAGCTCTTTTCAAGAGGAAGCTGGATCTGAGGAGCATCCTTAGGGCTCATTGGAGGACACTAGGTTGTGTCCCTTATACTCTGAACCCTGCAGCCTTGGTCTGGGGAGTTGGCGAGTACTCCACGACAGTGTCTACTTTTAAAAAAAATTATTTTTTTTATAAGAGGAAGAGGGAGCTAGAAACATCAATGATGAGAATCATTGATCAGCTGCCTCCTGCACACCTACTGGGATTGAGCCTGCAACCCGGGCATGTGCCCTTGAGCAGAATCAAATCCGGGACCCTTCAGTCCACAGGCTGATGCTCTATCCACTGAGCCAAACCAGCTAGGGCCACAGTGTCTACTTTCAATTGGGCACTTCACTCTGGGAATCCTGGTGTTGCACACCAAGCACACAAACATGAGTCCAGTCTTTGTTGAGGAGCTCACTCTAGTTGGGGAGGCAATTCATGAAGCAGCCGTTAACCATCCAGTGTCAGTGTGATCAGTGTTCTGACAGAAGCACAGAAAAAGGAGAGGCATGTAGCTTAGAGAGTCAAGGAAGGCATCCTCTAATCTAGGAGATAATATCTGAGCCGAGTCCTGAGGGACTGGTAGGAATTAGCCAGTTGAGGAAGTGGAAGGAATTCCCAGGTAGTGAGAATGGTATGCACAAAGACCTGAAGGCAAGAAACAGCAAAACCATTCAGAAATACTGAAGCATGAGGTTTCCTGGGTTGGGGAGGAGCAGCAGGAAATGAAGCTGGAGAGGTAAGCAAGAACCAGATTTGAAGCCTCAGACTGGCTACAGAGTCCAGATTTATCTCCTGGGACAGTGTGGTTCCCAAAGTGGCTGCACACCAGAAATACCTGTGGAGTGGTTTTAAGCTGGGAGACTCTGGGTCAGATGTGAACTAGCAAACCCCTTTCTGGCCAGTCCATGTGAAATGGATCCTATTAGATGCTCATGCTGTAGGTTCCCATGGCTGCAGTTTCCCTGTTGTTCAGTTCTACAGTGGATTATATTTGCTTATTTTGTCTCTGAAGAAGCTGTGAGCACAAGGATGGGCCTGAGGTTACTGACCCAAAACAGGCACCCGGTAGATAGTTTTTGAAAGAATGAATGCATTTATGAGGGAGAGGAGACAAGGAATTTAGTTAGGAAACTTGAAAATACCAGGCGGCCTACTCAAAGACAAGGGCAGTGGGAATGGTTTGGAATTGATAAGGTGTGAGCTGTTAAGGGATGATGAACCAGACTTGGTGACTTGATTATTGGATGTGGAGGGTGACTGAGACGATAGAGTGAACATCCATTAATAGCCAAGATTCCTACCCTAGCCCAGTAATTCTCCTTCTTCAATCATCTGAATCCAGACTACTCAGTAAGTGAAATTCCTCCCTCAAGTTAGTCATTTTCTGTGTGCTGTGTGGTCACGCCCTCTCCCCAGCTACGATTTATCCAGTTCAATAAATCTGGGCTAAGCACCGCCTGTGTACAGTGAGGCTCTTCCAAGCCAGGACTCTTGACTCTTTCCTACCTCAAGAGATGTTTTTGAGGACTTCCCCAGGTACGACTTACATCCCTGATACAGGAACCTAGAGTGAGATGCCCAGATGTCAGACCTGTGAGGGAACTTACAGACTTTGTCCAACCCCCTCCTGAGGCCCTTGGAGGGGAAGAAACTTCCTCAAGGTCCTACTGGTAGGATGTGTTGGGGCCAGAACTGGAACCTATGTTCCCTTCCCCCATCACCGCTAGAGCCTTGAAGGTGGGACTTATTGGCCTTAAAGATCAATATACTGGATGGGCCAAACAAAAAGCTTGTCAATTACACTGTCCCCTTCTGGAAACCCCCAGCAAACCTGCCGTGCCCACAGTTCCTTTTATAGCATTTCTTAAGCATAAGTTGCTATGCTCTGTACCATTTGACCTCACAATCCTGGCCACTGATGGTTAGGTTGGGATAATATCTGTCTCAAGGACAGCTAATTTCTAGGTTGGCCAATGGCCTACTAGATTTTTGTGCAGCAGAAGTGGTGCCAGAAACTGAACAGCAAAAGCAAGGAGGAAACTTCAGAAACCTGACATTTGTATCATGAGATACAAGGTAGCAGAAGCCATGAAATATCAAGACAGCAATAGACCAAATGAAGCAGTAGGAGCCACAAGGAACAGAAGCCATGAGACAAAACCCTGAATCCAGCCCAGCCTGTGTGGCTCAGTGGTTGAACATTGACCTATGAACCAGGAGGCCATGGTTCAATTCCCAGTCAGGGCACATGCCCAGGTTGCAGGCTCGATCCCAAGTAGGGGGCGTGCAGGAGGCAGCCGACCAATGATTCTCATCATTGATGTTTCTATCTCTCCCTCTCCCTTGCTCTCTGAAATCAATAAAAATATATTTAAAAATAAAAGTGATCAATAAATTTATAAATAGAAAATCTGCATATTATTTAGAGATATAAAAATAATTATCAGAAAAATTAAACAGTTATAAGTGGACTAGTAGATTTCCAGATCAAGATGGCAGACTTACCACATGTTTATCTTCACTCCCACCTGAGACCTTGCTAAAATGACAGCAAAGGAATAAAAAGAGTATAAAAACACAATGATGAAGAGAATGGGAGCAGGTCCATCAGCAAAAGAGATCTCAACAAATTTCAGGAAGATGGGAAATAAATGAAGGAATGTTGATTGATGAATCATGACAGAGGAAGCCCTAACTTGGCATATGCATGGAAGTGATACCACCAAGGAAGGAACTGATGTTTCTCTGCAGAAGTATGGAGTGTCTTGGGTCTTAACAATGCTAGTAACCATATATAGTGGGAGTGAGATGTGGGATTAAAAACAGATTAATTGGAAGGCTGGATATCAAACTGATAACCAACCCCCTTGTGTACAATTCACAACAGCCAGATATCTACCCATTAGACAAAAACCAGAGTGTTCTTGTCTAAGGAAACTGAACAACCTCAGGAGAAAAATCTTTGCATTCTGGCATTTGGGGACTCTGCAGCACAGTGGTCAATTCTCCTCAATCATCCTCAAAGAAAGCCACCATGCCCCAGCTGGTTTGGCTCAGTGGATAGAACATCAGCCTATGAACCAAAGGGTCCTGGGCTCAATTCCGGTCCAGGGCACATACCTGGTTGGGATCATGCTGGAGGAAACAAGTCAATGTGTTTCTCTCACATCAGTATTTCTCTCTGTCTTTCCCTCTCTCTTCCACTCTCCCTGAAAATCAATGGAAAAATATCCTCGGGTGAGGATTAAGAAATAAATAAAAAAAGAAAGCCACCAGTCACCTAGCTCTGTCCCCCATACACAGAGCTTCCAATCAGATTTTAGTGCTACATTCTTAAATACAAGTAAACAACCATGGATTACCAGGCATTTAGAAAAGTCTGCAAACTGAAAGAGACCAAAATAAGCAAACAGGGAAAAACAAATCCCAAATGAAATATAGCGGGGCCTTGACTTACGAGTTTAATTCATTCTGAGACCGAGCTCGTTAAGGAGCTCATTAACTCAAATTACTCTATCAACTCAATGCAAAAAATCAGCTGAGAGACAGCTGGTATCTCAAAAAACTCGTTAGTTGGG